ATGTAAACGTTATATTTAGTGAGTACATGTGGTTGAGTAGATATCCTTATTTTAAATCACGAAGTTGATCCAAAATCTTTTTCAATCAATATGAGACCAATATTACCAGAGATAATTATTCAAATAGATAGATAGATAATGAAAAAGTTGATAATAGATAGATATATAGATAGATAGATATGAATGAACTAATATATATATATATATATATATATATATATATATATATATATATATTTATGTTGCCCACCGTAATGGGATTGACATTAATTTCGATTAAAATATCCTTCTTTAATTAAGAGAAAGTAATTTACTTAGAGAAAAGTGTATAAAATTTACTTTAACCGCTATATCAGCCACAGTAAATTTACGTCCAGTTTCTTCCAACATTTCACCTTTATTGGTCGATCTTCTGTTATACACGTACACACACACACACGTACATATACAATACATTTTTTTTTAATTATCATTAATAAAGCTTCGATTTTTTTTAGCCTTTTTCTGCATGTAGATGATGCTATTATATTAGTGTTGTCAACAAGTATGTTCCGAATAGTGTCCGGTATGTCTCCATGAATATTAAAATGAGATCTAATTGAGCTATGGTCTGAAAGGTGTAGAGTGAGTCTTCGTGTCAAACATGATGTAGTGTGGCCTATATAATTATTTACGAATTTTGATTGATCAGGAAGCCTTATTAATAAAAACAAAAACAAAACAACACTTAATAATATTAACTATGAACATGGACACAATATCTTGACCGTGTTTTGAAAAATGAAAACATTTTATAAAACATACATACAACAAACTATTTCTTATTTAACAGTTAAAATAATTAATCCTTGAAAATGGCTAAATGTATAGCCGAAAGCGCTCGGATAAAAGAACATTCGGACAGTTTTTATATAATTTATCATCCGAAAAGAAAAAAAAAATATTAGATCGCATGAGAAATTGTATAAAAAACTAACTTTGTCAGTTGTATTCAATGAAATGTGCATATATATATATATATATATATATATATATATATATATATATATATAGTGTTGTGTTTAATATTTGGGCGTTCTTTTCATCAGGCGATTGTATAAACAGTTTAAGATGGTTGCCTGTCCAACTACTTTACTTCCTGTAATTCTTCGCGGCACTTAATCTTTTACGCATGCGCTGTCAACCCTAATCTAGATCAGCCTCGTTCTTGTTTTCTTTCATACCGTTCAAAAACAGCATTATTACGAAGCATTCAAAAGTCATTTTTTTCGTGATTGGTGCAACCAATTCATAGGAGAGAGAGAGAGAGAGAGAGAGAGAGAGAGAGAGAGATGGCGTTTTTTGCATGATGTACCGAACAGAACTGAACATTTTTGTTGAACGACCCCAAATACTGTACGAGCGTGGATCGTTTAAGAGAGATAAGCTCTGTATTTGAAGCAAATACGTTTGTTTTCTTATTGCAAATAAGTCGAAGAGATTAATAGTGATGAAAATCAGCATCATCATCATTTAACAAAGATTAAATCGCGAGGAAGAGAATAAGTTAGATAGATATAGACAGATATTAACATATTTAGATAGATAGATAGATAGATAGATAGATAGATAGATAGATAGATAGAAATAATATGTACAGATTGAGATAGATAGATAGATAGATAGATAGATAGATAGATAGATAGATGTGGACAGTTATAGATAGATAGATAGAAACACAATATGAAAATATTTTGAACAGACTGAGACAAATAAATTATTAGATAGATAGATAGATAGATAGATAGAAATAATATGTACAGATTGAGACAGACAGACAGATAGATAGATAGATAGATGTGGACAGTTATAGATATTAGGTTGGTGCAAAAATAATGACGTAATAATGTCGTTTTTTAACGTATTTTTTCGACGTCAAAAAACGACATTATTAATTGGACTTTATCGAAACGAACTTTCTATTTAGACGGAATTACATTGTGTCCAGTCCTGGGTATGACGATAAACTACATCCGGCGTTCTGGGTAAGACGATAAACTACATCCGCGTCCTGGGTAAGAAGATAAACTACATCCGACAGCAAGGCCTCTGTTCAGGAGGCTTTGAGGAGCGTGGAACCACCTCTTAATTGCTGGTGTTCCCAGGTCCATCCTCATCCGGGGTGGTAGTACCTTTTAGTTGAACACATTCTTAGTGTTCAAAGTAGAGTCCAATTGTGTTCTAAAAACCTCG